CATTCAAATCCTTTTTCTTATCTTTTTCCGTCTTTTGTTATCAAGCTGCGACTCGATTAGGTATAAGGTTTTCATATTGATAACTCGCTGACGGCCCTGCGGCCAAAGCCTTTGTAAACCCTTGTAACGATCGCAACGCTCTTACGCGAATCGGAAATAAGATCGACTTTCTTTGTAAATTCGTTTTATTATGTTTTTTCATATTTTTCCGCATTTATTTGGTTACTTGACGTTGGCTTTCGCAGAGATCCGGTTCTTCTGGAAAATTAAGGTTTTCCTAAGTTTCCTTATTTAACGGAAATCGACAAGTGTGAATTTCGGTTCCCACAGTTTGGCGCTAGAAGGAGGGGGGTCGGATTACTCTTACTCATAGCCGCAAAACGCTTGATCAAAACGATGTCTGGATGTATGAAAGACAAAGTCGCAACTCGCGAAAAGAGGCTGGTAAAACAACTCCAGCAGCGACTGCTCCTACAGCCAACGCTTGCGCAAACGCTGGAGTACTCAATAAAATCGAAAACCTAATCGCGACTCTTCGCCACGGAAGAGCAACAAAACGAGCTCACGATTTCTATCTCAGATCACTAAGGGCAACAATAAAATCTATCAAACCCCATAGTGTTTTTTCTTATTTCCGAGTTTGACATATCTCACGGGTTGAGCAAAAGACGTTTTCCGAGAACTTTTCGGAAAAATAAAACTTGCCTTCCCAGAAACCGCGGAACAAACCGTAGGTTACTCGCAAAATAAACCCTAGGTTACTTGCGAAAAAACTCTAGGTTATTCACGGCAAAACCCTAGTTTGTTCGCGGAAAAACTCTAGGTTATTCACGGCAAAACCCTAGTTTGTTCGCGGAAAAACTCTAGGTTATTCACGGCAAAACCCTAGTTTGTTCGCGGAAAAACCCTAAGTTATTCACGACAAAACCCTAGGTTGTTCGCGGAAAAACCCTAGGTTACTCACGGAAAGCACCCTAGGTTTTTCGCCGAACAAACCGTAAGTTACTCGCGAAATAAACCCTAGGATACTCGCGGCTGTTCGCAAAAAAAAATCATTAGGTAACTCGCGGAAAAACCGTAGGTTATCCACGGAAAAACCCTAGCTTTACCCGCGGAGAAAGCCCTAGGTCACTCGCGGAAA